CATTATTAATTCCCAAAATATAGTATTTTAAAGTTTGTTTTCAAAAATAGGGTCGACGATCAATGTTCCCGAAATCAGTTCCACACAAAGTATAAGTTTTTCTTTAATGCTATACACGTTTAAGTTTCTCAATCTGTATCCACACAATTTATATTTTTAAATTCATAACCACACAAGATTTAATTTTATCTATTTCTATTCAAAATCTGAAAATCACGACTAGATCCTAATCTAAACTGATTTTAATCACTAATTCGACTTAAACTGAAATGACGAAACCAAAACAAAAACCAAACTCAATCTATAACCCGATTTTTTTATTCATCGACTCCAATCATCGAAAAACCCTAAAAAATCAAAATTATCATTTAAAATTTTGGTTTTTCAAAAATATTATTATGTTGAGGAAGCATTTTTTTAGTGAAATTAGTTATTTATTTGAGTGAAATTTTGGTAAACTTAAAATCCTTCGACTTCAATGTATGTTTAACACATAAAATATTTTCTCCTTTAGTATCTTGCAGCTGTTGTTGATCTAAACTATCTTTGGCTCAAACTTAAATAGTTAGCAACACTCTTAAAATAAATTCGACTTTTGTGCTTAAAAAGAACATGACATAAAAATACATTAAAAAGGATATCAAAACTCAATTCAATTAAAAAAAGAAGACTTTTACATAACAAAACCATGGCTTATATCAATACCTGGGGAGATAAGAGAGAACTTCGCTTGAAAAAGTTCNTTGGATCTCGTTTGAATAGACCAAAAACCTGTCCAAAATGTAGAATCAGAGATANAACTTTAGAAAACANATAATTTAGTTAAACAAAACAGATTTCAGTTACAAATGGAAGCAATATAAAGAAGTAATTATAACACTTAAGAGAGACTGCAATTGATATATAGAATCTTATATGAACTTTAATTATACATACAATCGTATATAAGCTCCTAACAACATCAATTTAATATCATCAACTATGAATAACAATTATCATCGTGATTAACAAAGAAAGATAAACAAAGCAATGATATGGTNCCTACGAGACAACTTTTTCTTAAAATATTCTATTGACCTCCATCTCCAAACACACAGACTTTGATTCTTTGTTTANTCGAGATTGACTTCTAAACTAAACAANNGAGACTNACCTATGACAAATCAACAAAAAATTGGATAAAAATTCGAAAATCCACCAAAGAAATCGCCACGAATTAGAGAGTTAAGAACCCTTCAAACCCAGAATTTCTCAGTCAAAAACTANCCAAATTTATTCTTCTTCGGTGGTTCAGTGGACAAAATCTTCGCAGCTCACAAAACAGAGCTTCTCATTGTAGCCAAAAACAGAAAAGGTTGANCTTNGTTTTTTGCAAGACTAGATTCATTCTTCTGTAGTTAAAATTGCAGNNGTAGAAGAAATAAAGATGTCGATGGTAGAATTAGGGCAATTACCCCCAATTTAAGTTTACCTTGTGTAAACCTTTTCTATCAGATAGAAGATTTAAAAAAAAAAGCATGTGGATTTAGAAAAGGAAGGCAATTTAAAATTCAAAAATAATTAAATATTTTTTTTATAAAAATAATTCTATTAACAAAATCATGGGCATAAACGGATTTTCATCTAAATTAAAGTATAGTTCACCAAAAATCACAAATAAAAGCATAAATGGAAAAAGTGCAAAAAAAACATCCTTGATTTTCAATTTTCCCAAAAAATAAATCGTGTGAATGTATGTTAAATTTACTGGTGGTGAGGTGAATTTGAGTGATGTCCGGTTTTTAAGCATACAAAAACGTAATTATTTATGAAATTTTAGCATAAAAATGCATATTAAATTTATAGAACATAGAAAAATATTTCTCGGTTGTGACCAAAAATAAAAATAAAAATAAAATTTTTTTCTCGGTTAACTGTAAATATTGACCATTTTCAATATTTTTTCGGGTCGATAAAATGAATTATTAAACAATTTAATTTATCATTAGATAATTGTTTATTTTTCTCCAGGAAATGTTCCAATTGGAAACATATCCGTTTAATATACATATTAGATTTTGACTCACGTCAAGCGTGTGATTAAATATTAAAATATATTTTCTAATCGATCTTAATATTTATATGTATTGTGCATAAATGTAATAAAATTAAATTTGTACTAAACATATTTCAATGTCATATGCTTTGATCAATTTTGCATAAAATATTTAAACTAATGCAAATGTTATTTATTTCAATTTATTTGAAGTGTCAAATTGAGTTTTATTATTTGTGTAAATAGTAAAGTATGCGATAAATCAAATAAATTTTAGATTTATATAAATTTGTCGGATGTACCAAACAAAAAATATTTGTTTTCTAATAATAAATGTAAAAATATTTTTAAGTGTAGTTATCATCTACAAATAAATAATATTGTTACAAATATAATAATAATAAGCTTTTAAAAATATCAATTTTTTTTAAATAGATGATATAGTAAGTCTAAATATTATATTTAGTTAAACTTAACTCTGTAAAATATATATTAATGGGTTTATGTTATAAAATTAATAAAAACATATAGAGATTTCCACCATAGCATATAGTTTTAGTTAAAATATTTTCATTAGTTAATTTAAATGACATATTTCTTTTTCTTTTTTTGGTCGAAATGATGACATATTTCTTAAAACTCTCATTGAATAATACATATGATTTTTTCACCAAATGTCTATTCAATTAATATATAGAAGATAAGTGTCATTTTAAAAAAAAATTCAAAATGATGACATTTTTGAAAAGTGGCATTTCTAAAAAATTATCTACATTTAGTTTAAATATCATGCAAATTAAATTTTGTAAGATAAAATATATTTATCAATATATTTATCTATATTGGAGATATATCTTTGTTATTTTTAATATTTTTCCGTATATAAAAAAATCTTGAATTTTTTTAATATTATAATCCCGTATTTAACGCATGTAAAAAAAATCTAATAGTCATTGAAAAAAAGATATTTTCACATATACTTTATATTTATTAAATAAAATCTTCCATATTAATTACCATATATTCCTTTCTTCCATATTTGTTTAATACTTATATATTGTATATGTGATATAAATTTAGTCTAATTATTTACACAATAATGTTTTTAAGAAATTTTAATAGTTTTCCTTAAAAGTTCCTTAAAACCTTCTTTGGATAACACCTGTGATTTTCACTTAGTATCTCCTCTATTAATATATAGAGGATGTTTTTAGTCCTAATCTAGTGAATAATAAAAGTTGTTTGCCAAAATTATGGTCAAAGTTTCTGTTATGGAAACCAAATTATTTCATAGCATGAAAG